GTGTCCGGCATAATCCCCTCACGGCGAATCTCAATACAAATACAATTGAGAACGTGTCGTCTTGGCCAATCAGACAATTTTAAAAGAGATGATGTGGTACCTTACAAAGATGCCCATCAATGTTACTCAAGTGGCCAATCGATGAAGAAGTGACACCTATTGCACGTTGCACCAGATCGAGGCGAGCAAACTTTAATAACAGGCAGCAGCGAAATAGTGCCAGAAGCGTAGTGAGGCGCGAATACTGCACAGAACTTGTTCAGTCACCAATTTTTTTATTCATTAATTTCATTTATATCTTTGGCAAACTAAACATGATATGTTGGTGATGGCTATGCCATCACTAGATCCAAAATGACTGCCAAGAATATAAAAAAGAGGTGAAGGAAGAAATAGGTCAACTTGGCAGTCACTTAACTTGAAATCGAGTAACGACTGTAAGCGACTTGGAAGTCTCTCCTCACCTCACCATTTAAGCTGCGCAAACACGTCAAGCAATACTAACCGTGTACATGACAGTGGCCGGCACTTCAACTTTGTGAGTAATACATTTACCCAACATTTCTCCCACTTTCCGCTGCCATCGGCCTATTTCCCGGAGGAATTGCTCTGTACCGCACTGCGGCACTGTTTTCTGTCTGAGGCAGACGAAGTTTATTCACCTTACCTCTTCAAGGTTTGCCAAAGATGATACTTAACAAATGTCTTGTCTGAGTTTTTGATCTAGGTGGTCTTTGTATCTAACCTGGATAGCTATGAAAACTAACTCAAAACTTTCACCAAGAGCTCCGTTTAATAGCACATTTCCCCATAAAAGTACAAAATGCGTTCTAGTCTAAATATTCCAAATAAACATTAAGAACTGATTAAAATGACCACCAGAGATAAGTGCAAACTTGGCGCAAAAATCAGCTTTGATTTTACTGACACCGGTAAATAGGCAACCGAGACTTTATCCTTTCATAATTCCCAGATGAAAAGACACCTAACCGCTTCTGACCACAAATATGCTTTATCATTACTACTACTAAACTATACCATACTCTGCCATGTCCCATTCTACCCTACTACACCATAATATATTGGGTGATTGTTTAGCTTTCGACAATGGCGCCACTTATGTGCTCCGTCATTGTACCTCTGGCCCATGCCAGTAGCCCCAAGACCTGTACGCCGATGGTACACGTCCTACTCCAGTGTTATTTCCTCTGGCATCTTCAGGAAAGCTTGAAATCGCTATTATACTAGACTTTACTCTCCACCACTATACAGGAGCGCAGAGCTATTCTTCATGAAATAATTGAATAAACTCTTCGTGTGATCTGCGCCTTCCGATCCCCCTCTCTAATGTGTTCACTACTCTCATATCGATTTCACCGATTGTCTATGATGCACGCATTAGTGACCCAATGTCGTGCCAGAATGACAATATCTTCCAAACGCCCCTCCTGAATCGCGATAACATATTCCGGAGTCCGACTCTAACTCTGAAAAAAATACGCTAACACTGTTGGGAATATCTGGAAACACAGCTTCAGACTGACACCAAATAGCAATGAGATCGTCTTGAATTACTGAGAAAGATATTGTGAATAGAAAATGATAAGACACCGTGCTACTCTCTTATCGAGCAAAAAGAATGAGAAGTGATATACATGTTTTACTGCATAAATACATCTGGCCAGACAAATGTTAGGAGTCAATATTCACGTGAATAAAACAAACGGATGGATAAATAGGATGGACACATTTCAGGACTCATCTTCAGAAGACGAAGATAAGGTTCTCAACCAAGAAGCGACGTTTTTCGCTAATAATGTCTTTTCTTCTTGCCGCTCTTGGGTATCACCTGCCTCGCTACCACTGCTGCTGCTCTCCAGCACACGAGCTCGTTTGGCAGCTCCACCGCCCCCACCCTCATTGTCTGACGATTCATCATCACTGCTCTTTCGCTTCCGTCCTCGCTCCACGCTCCTTCTACTCTCCACTTTCTCTGCCCTGTCGCTACCTTTCCTTAATACCAATTTGTCGTCCGAGGACTCACTGAGAGAGTCCAACGCGTCTTTCCGCTTCCCTTGATGTGAGAGGCTTCTTTCCGCACCCTCTACCTCCTGTGCTTCTACCTTCTTCTGGTGTCGAATCCTCGCTTCCTCCATATCTTCGTCTCCACTGGAGCTTCCAAAGTCATCCTCATCACTGATTAGTGCCTTGCTGACCACACGACCTCGCTGTCGAGTGGATAGTTTCTCTTCATCATTACTGCGGTGGTGGTGATGTTGATGGTGGCGATGGTGATGGTGATAGTGATGATTATGGCGCTCACTGAGTTCTTTTGAGGGGGAAGTTTTCCGACGCTTTGTCTCTACAGCACCTCGTAAGGATTTCTTGAGGCGTCTGACACTTTTTTTCAAGATTATATCACCAGCCTCCCCAACCGCCTTCTCACGGTCTACATCATTCCCACTGCTACTGCTGCTGTCGACTCCATCGTCTATGAACCCGTCCTCGTCTGCAGCTCTCTTCTTTCCGCCGGTGCTCTTTCTCACTTTTTTCTCCTGTCAATAGGATAAAAAAGCATTCACGTGCCTGAGCATATGCTCATGGACTCGTTGTTTTTGGCTGTTGAACGTACCAGAGCCGAAGACTCCAAACTGATCTGTTTGGCCTTCTCGATGAACTTGCCACGTTCCTCTTCCAGTCGACGCTCGCGCTCCAGGCGTAAAGCCTCTGCTTTTGCCTGAAGTTCTGCCTGCTTCCTTCTCTGTGCCTCACGCTCTTCCTCCTGCCATCACGCATCGATAATTTGTTAAACAAGCAAAAATGTGATGATGGCCAATACTTTGTGGAATTGAGTTTTACCTGGCGCTGACGGAAGAGACGCTCTTGTTCTTCGCGCGATTTCGCCCGATCCAGATGGTACTTGGCCTGACTCAACAGATCATGGCAAGCTCGAGCCTCATCCAGCGATATTGACTGATTAACAATTTCGCTCGACTTTGAAATGTGCTCAAATGTGCTGCGCAGAAAAGCAGTCGTTGCAATGAAAAAAATGGTCACTCAAACACTTTCGACGCTCAAGCCTACTTAGCTTATTTCTCTCCAAAACTAGCTAAAGTGAGCTACTACTTGTGTGGTGAGAAACATATGAAATTTACATTCTGCTGACTTTGTAACTTTAGCTATCCAAAAGAAATTGGTCGTAGTGAATAAGAGAAGAAAATTTGCTGAACCAATTCACCATCTAGCCATGCTGAGGTCCGAGATGGCCTCACAGACGGCTGCAAAACTGCTCGCCTCGTCCTTCAAAACCAAAACCGCCATGCGTTTTTGCACTAAAGCCAGGTTGAAGGTCAAAAGGGGGTCCCAGGGTTTCACATGACGTGCCTACAAATAGGCAAAAGAACACAGACATGAAGGATAATGCGGCAATATAGGTAATATCTTTCTCTGGATCGAAGAACATGAGGAAAGGAATCAAGGCAGCACTTAAGTGTGTTTTGATTATATTTAAAAGTGAGTTTGAATGCATCAGGTGGATTCATTTGGTGATGAAAGACAGAAAGGAAACTGTTTCTGAACCCTTCCGATCTAAATGCTTAAATAGTTTACACAAACTGAGGATTGCACAGAAGTATGATATTAAATTTTGCAAATATGTTGTTGCGAAAACAAAATACCTTCAGAAGCACAGCTTTGCACTCCTTCAAATGGTTGGCTTTGAAGTATGCTCGAGCCAGATAGAGCAGCAGCTCTGTATCGCTACTCTTGTTAAACTTACGAATGCAGTTCTCGTACTAGAAGGGATTGATAAATTGCGGTTATCAAGGTTAAAGAACTTTTTGAGGGCGTTAGTTTTTGTTTTACTTAATCTGGTAGAAACTAACTGTTAATCCAACCTAATTAAATGATGAAATCCAGCAGGGCAAGGAGCGCGTGGTCACCAAAGGCATATACAATTTTGGGTAGATAAAACTAGTCAGCAAGGTAGTTGGACATTGCTGTGAATACCTACACAAACTGGGATAGTTCTTGCTCAAAAGACTCAAAGTAAGATAGTCAAAATTGGAAATGTGATGATGCTATCAAGTAGTTTGGGAAAAACTGCAAAAACCGTTGAATTCACTTTAAGTCCCACTTTGTCATGTCCTATCCCCCGTAAAATACAGTCGTGCAAGTGCCCCTGCCTTGCCTAAAAAATTCAGCATAAAACTCCTCCATACCCTCATTATTAAATCTGATTACTAGGCAAACGTTTGACTTCATGGGCTACAACCACCAGATGTTAAGCTACTTATCAAACAGGCTTTTGTCACTTACTCAAACGGGTTAGTGGTCAAATAGGGGAAGTCTGTACGTCCACTCACCATCTGAATAGCCGCAGTGTACTGTTTCTGCTCAACATAGACATGTGCAATGTTCATCCATACATCGGGGAAGTCTGCAGTGGCCTCTCGGACCTGAGCAAACACATCGCGCGCCTCATTGATGAAGCCTTTATGCGCCAACACGCAGCCGATGCCGTGGGCGGCCCAAATGTTGCGTGGGTCTGCACTCAAGACCGCCTTGTAGCAAGATAGCGCTCGCTCCTCGTGTCGGCGCCGCCGGTCCTTGTCTCGACCCTGTTGCTGTTGTTGTTGAGTCTGGTTAGGGTTGGTGTTATAACGGTGGTGATGGTGCAGACTCCGAAGCCACACATTACCTAGGGTAATGCGACAGTAGGCATCGGCGCGGTACTTGGGCTGGCGGATGATGCGTTCGAACTTGCGTTGGGCTGACTCCACCTCACCGCGGGAGAGATGCAACTGGCCTAGAAGGCTCCAGGCATCTGGGTGGTCGGGGTTCACCTCAAGGACCTCACGGAACCACAAAGAGGCATCGCGAAGCTGACCTCGATCGCTAGCTATGCAACCTAGACGGATGTAGCCTGAAGAACGATTTAAACGGGAGCGAAAAAATTTCAGTTGTTGGGAGAAGAGAATAATGCAAGCAATGTTGATTTACGCTTCGATACTGCACTAGTGTTATCTATGGAACTTTGTAAAATCTGGTTACTCAATCAATGAGCGGATGCTCTTTATAGAAAAATAAAACACCAAAAGTTTGCGATTAAAAAACTTGGATTATTCACCAGAGATGATGGGTGGGCCATCCCAAACAATGTTTCGCACTACTAATATATCTTTATCATCCAGACAATGAGCTACTTCTCTTATGCTAATATATTGGAGATGCATGGAACTGAAATAGAAGAAAAAACCGAACAGTGGCGCTAAAAAACTGATTTGATGAGCAAAAAATGAGAATATTTTGCATCCGTTTCAGCTATTCAATGCTGCACCCACATTATTCGCTGCCAATATATGAAGCGAGCCCAAAACAGTTCTATTAAAATCACCACCAATACACTCCTGAAGCATAGTCAATAAACCAGTTCTTGAAAACAGCAAAAGGAGCATTTAAAGGTTGCAAAATCACCCACAGCCACATCGACACCTCATTATCAGCAAATTTTTAATCAGCTGTTTACATAAGCTCTACCTGCTCTCTCAAAAATAATAACGCCGAGTCGATGGAAAATTTCAACTATATTAGAGTCGAAGGGAAGAGGAGAACGTACAGTCCGCGTAAGTGGGATGCTGAAGGAGGATAGACTTGTAGGCCGCTTCTGCAAGGTCAGGACGATTCATAGCTTCATGCAGACGAGCCTGGTTATAATGTACGGTGACAGCAAGGTCATGGTAATAGTTGTCGCCACCGCCAGCAGATGCAGAAGCGGTATCACCACTTGTGGTGGCGGTGCGGCGATGCAGTTCCAAAATTGCGTTGGCGGTGGTTGTGCTCGTCAAAGGCGCGGGGTATTGGAGATGCGATGCTCGCCCCTCCCCATCTATTCCACCACTCTCCTCCTCCTGAAGCTGCTCCTCACGAATACGGTCGTAGGCTCGGTTCAAGAAAGACTGTGCGATGAAAACAGTTGTTAAATTCGTCCTATTCTAATTACTTGTCATAGAGTCAGCAGGACTACACATTATTATACGCTCCATAACTGAAAGTGGAAGGATGTAGGTTTAAATCGATTTTAAATTTTGGTATTTGAAATGATACATTCACAGAGTTTAGAAACCATCGGATAACAGAAATGTCTGTCTTATTCCCATTCGACTAGAGGATTCGTCGAAACCCTGTTAACAAATCTAAGTGCGAAAAGGTAACGTGAAGAGAACTTCAGTAAGACAAACTTTGGGCTTCAACACACTACATCGTTTTATCGGTGAATCGCAATGCACTCGGAATCCAACCTAGTTCCATTGCTCTCAAAAGCAATCCAAGGAAAGTAAACTTACACCAGCTTTGCTGTGTTCATTATTCATGAAGTAGAGAACCCCAATATTGTTCAGAATCTCTGGAGACACCTCTAATTGAACATTCTCGAGAATGCTGAGCGCATTTAAGTAGGCACTCAGAGCTCCCGACGTATCGTTTTCCAACAACTGCGCATACTCAATCCACGCCTCCACATCATCCGGCTGACTTTCTGTGACCTGTTTGAATAGTTGCTTAGCTTGAGCTCGCTTGTCCAGCTTGTTGGATTGGGCGTAAAGACTTCCCAAGATCTTCAACGTTTCGTAGTTATTCGGATAGACCTTCAAAACCTTCTCAAAGGCAATAGCAGCCTGCCAACGAAATCATGGATATTCAAAGTGACAATTCGGGGGAGGAAAATCTATATGATATCAGCTTACGTGCTCGAGGTCGTTACGGTGGAGATACATTTGACCAAGACCATAGAACGGAAGAAGGAAGTTCGGAGAGGCAAACTGAGTGGCCAAATAGTAGTATTGGAAAGCTTTGTCATAGTTTCCCTCAACATGAAGAGCTCGCGCCATCTGATAGCAACTCTCAGCACGCATCGCCTCATTCTCCGTATTGTGAAAAGCATGCATTGCGAGCTGATGAACCTTGTCGTATTCCTTCTTGTAGAAGAAATGATCCGCCAGATGGTTCAGAACCATGGGGTTGGTTGGACCCAGATTATAGGCTTTAGAGAGCTTCTGAACACCCTGTTTAATAGACTCCTATAACGAGACAGGGAGTAGATTGGCATAGAGCAAAAACAATGTGAAATACCTGGGTCTTTTCATTAAGATCCAGGATTGCCAATCCGACAAGCGCCTCAACACTCTCAGGATCCAAATCCAAAGCCCTCTGGAAGGCCAATCTCGCCTTCTGAGGATTACCAAGACGCGCAAAACAATGCCCGATTCCCAAACGCACCGAGGCTGAACAATTTGGCTGGAGACGTAAGGCCTTGCGATAAAATGCTAGAGCGTTCCTATATTCCTGCTTGTTGAAAGCAATGCAAGCTTTGCCTAAATAGGCCTGCACATTTGGCGACCCCTGATTCAGCACAAAATTGAGCTGGCTGTCTGCTTGACTCCACTTTTCGCCTTCGTAAATGAAATAAAATGCACGTCCCAGAAGGTGTTTCTGATCGTACATCGCGATTCGGTCAGCAGAGGTGAACAGAGTGGCGGCTCGTGTGATCAACTGCGTGCGTTTTTCTTTGTTATTTTCTCTAAAATTATTGACGACGTAAAGAAAACATAAATTCTGACCTGCCTTGAAGCCTTTTTCCCACAGTAGTTGGCAAGCATGTCCAGCAGTTGGAGGAAGTCGTTCTCACTGTAGGGTTGCAGATTAGAGACACTCTGCTTGGCCTCCTCAAGGACCTTCTCGAAATCGTCGAAAAGCTTCTTCTTGTAGTAGGCCAAAGCGATGTTGATCCAAACGGGAAGTGGAGCAACCTCCTGAGTAAGAATGTTGATGACTTCGTCCCCATCAGGCAATTGGTTTATATCCAGTTCAATCACTTCATCGCCACCACGTAGTGGGATTTCAATGGTATTTGCACTTGAACTGGAAGAATTGTCTGATTTAACAGACTCAAAATCCGTGAGAGCAATGTCAGAGACCTGCTAGCGAAAACACTCGTAACTCCTTGAAAACAATGGATCACTTAAATATTGAAGATTTGGAAAGCTAATCTACCACAAAAATTAAAAACTAGAAGCATAGTCGGGAAAAGTTAAGGATGAAATTAAGCATACACTCATCCCGAGAAACTGAGCAGACAAACACCAGAGCAGTATTTCAATCCTACCGGTTATCAATGTACAAGGGCCCTAAAAAGTGGACAATACAAACAATACAATGCGCATTTCGTTGCAAAAACAAAAAATCTAAAAAGCCCGTTTTTTATGCATGCAACATATGCTATCTAAAAATTTGGCCTAAGACACAAATGGACTGCTTGTGAGACCTAAAAAATTTATTTTCACAATCACGAAATTAATTTCTAAGAAATGTCTAAAGCAAAAATCATGTTTAATTCAAAGCAAAAACGACCTGTTTTACTTAATTTAAAATCATCAGTCACAAATTGTCCCCAAATGTTAGCAAATTTTAACCTTTATAGACTAGTTGTGTTTATAAAAATTGTAATAGATGAACTGTCTGGCTAATTCTTAGTGTTAATAACTGGACTTTTAAAGGCAACGCCAATGTGCCTCGCCTCGAGACCCTCCTGAAGACGAAAGAAAACATAACACTAGTGCAGAATATGTTTATATGAGCAATAATAGTGTAATACGATAGTGGTTTATCCCTCAGTACTGGTGAGGCT